AACCTTTTATTTTAGCAGTGCTAGTTTCATTAACATGGATACAACGACTCTGAAAGAATGCATAAGAAAGCAAATGTAAATTTCACTTTAGAATTCCTTTATGTTTTTCAAGATAGATAAACAGCTTCATGAAGATTGCGTTGTCTTTTTAGAGAGTATTACTTCAGTGAAGAGAACCTATTACGTGACTTTTTTTTGAGACGCAAAATGGACGCCCAAGGATTCTTGCCCATCACATTGATCGCATCTTTTCATCGCGTACAAACTTTAACGACCGATGTGTCTGTGGTGATCGAGGCTATAACGGAATCTGACAAATTGGAATTGGTTGATGGATTTAAGGTAAGATTATTGTTTTTTCTTTTCCTCCAAATCAAGATCGAGCCATCAAGATTGAGCACGAATAATATTGAATATCCAATTACACTATGAGTCGATTGGACAAAATTATTGTGCTAGAACAAACTCAGGAGGATTCGCTGACACCATTCCAATGAATGGAGTTTGAAAGTAGACCTCCTTACACGAACTTATCAAAGATGCCGTCAGTCTTTACCTCTCTCTCTCTCTCTCTCTCTCTCTCTCTCTCTCTCTCTCTCTCTCTCTCTCTCTCTCTCTCTCTCTCTCTCTCTCTCTCTCTCTCTTTCTCTTTCTCTCTCTCTCTTTTTCTCTCTCTCTTTCTCTCTCTCTTTCTCTCTCTCTTTCTCCCCCCCCCCTCTCCTTTATCGCAACGATCGTTCATTCGCTGTGTTTAGGTCAGAACAAGGATCGATCCATTAAAGTGGCCCATCCTGGATGCAGCTGGGAATCCCGTTTATTCCGATTCGTCCAACGCATCGGTACCCTCTCGAAACGAAGTAATTCATCCTTCATCCGAGGCTGAATTTTATCCAGCTGCGAGACCCTTATCATCGATTCCTGTTCCCCCAATTCCACGAATCCTCCAATCCAATTATCAATTACTATCGACAATAGGAAGAATAAGCGAATCTGAGAGTATCTCATCCTCGATGGGCGATAGTTTGAATCCGGATGTGCCTGAATTTATACCCGTAGACTTGACAAGCAAACTCGCATTGAGTAAACAAGTAAGTCAACAACGAGAAAATGGTCTATCGAGAAAAGATGAAATAGTCGAAATATCAAATTCCGTTCTTCCTGAACCATCGAGTAATGAATTGTCTCCACTGTCAACCAATGAATCGTCGAGTAGCAGCGAGTCGATAACCTTGAATGATAAAGCGCACATAGAGAACTGTATCCCAGCGAAAGTACAAATTGACGATCAGAAATCATTGGCACCTTCGTCGCCATCCGATAACAGTTGGAAAGAGGTAATTCTTGTTAATTAAAGTTTTCTCTTACAAAATCACAAGATTTTTTATACATTTAAAATCCATTGTTACACGTGTGCACGTAATTCTTCATTTTTCTGTGTATATGTATACGTACATGTATATGTATATATATATGTGAGGATATGGCATTGTATGGTGTAATATATGGCTTGTGATATGGTGTGACAGGTAAAAAGGAGAGTGAAACATTCGCATAGGGAAAAATCAGAAGATAAGGAAAAACCTGGAATTCATAAAAACGAGGAACGAGAAGAATTGGATTTCCAATTTGACGAAGAATTGGATACACCACCTCCAACTGGACGGCACAATGCTTTTTCCGAATGGTGAGAGAATTGTTCTTTTAACGGATATGATGATGGGTTTGCGATTAAATTGAATTCAATTGTTTTGAAAGAATGAAATATTTCTATTTCAGGTCAGAGGACGACGAAGACTATGAATTATCCGATAGGGACGTTAATAAGCTTTTAATAGTTACGCAAATGACTGTTCCGAATTCATCGAGAATACCTAAACACGAAGGTCATGATCGTACTGGTGATTGGACAACAAGAGTAAAGATGACACAGGATCTTGAACAGGCTATCAATGATGGATTGTATTATTACGAAGAGGATTTGTGGAACAAAGATGGGCAAAGAGTAAGAAATTGATGATAGCGCTAAAATGTCCAGTCTCATTTAATGTGCAGAATCATTTTAATGAATCATCGTATATTTCCAGTATGGATCGTCCTCTTCAATTAACAATTATAAAACCGTAAATGTCATCAGCCAAGAGGATTTTGAGAAAATGGCCCCGAAACCTCCAAGAAAAACCAATCCCGAAGTTCCTCCACCTCCACCGTCTGCCGTCGAGGACTTGGACATTTCGCAACAGTCTCCTCCTGTTCAAGTACATGTTTCTTTCTTTTTTTTTTTCTTTTTTTTTTCTTTTATTTTCTTTTTTTTTTTTATCACGTGATCATCGACTATAATGGTACCTTGATTAACGTTTATTTCGCCAAATTAGGTTCCTAACTCCTCAGAAGGCTCGAGTAAGAGGGAAAGAAAGAATGAAAAAAATCGTTGGAACGACAAAGCGAAAAATAGTAGAAGCGGAAGACGTGCCACTGTCCCAAGATTTTTTGCAGTGGTTAAGGATGAACCATCGGTTGATCCCCGAACACCGCGAAAACGAAAGACTCGTCACAGTAATAATCCTCCTGTAGAACATCACGTTGGTTGGATAATGGATGTTCGGGAACACCGTCCACGTACTTATTCTACAGGGTACACAAATTTATTACTTACTGTTGTTCGTTGTACGTATATCACTTAGAAATGTATTCTCATGCGTTTTCTTGTAAATGACAGAAGCAGCGCTGGAACGAGCCCCAGTGAAAGTTATCTGGCAAGTAGTTACGGAAGTGCGCCTCAATCTTTACCGACATTCCAACATCCCAGTCACGCCTTGTTGAAAGAAAATGGATTCACTCAACAAGTCTATCACAAATATCATTCGCGTTGTTTGAAAGGTAATTTAAATAGATATTAAACTATTAATAATTAAATCTTGCTCGTATGAATTTACGAAATGATGAATATTATATATTTTGTCTTCTTTTCCCGACTGAGGGACAAAGGTGAAGAGAATTTTAATCTGAAAGCTTATTCGTTTTCTCATATTAAATATGTAATAATCCTACGAAAATTATTTACTACAAAATTTTTCTTTTATCTTAGAACGTAAAAGATTAGGTATCGGTCAATCCCAAGAAATGAACACGCTCTTCCGCTTCTGGTCGTTCTTCTTGCGAGAAAACTTCAATCGTACGATGTACGAAGAATTTCGAAATTTAGCCAAAGAAGATGCCTTAGAGGGCTACCGTTACGGACTGGAATGTTTATTCAGATTTTATAGTTACGGTCTAGAGAGAAAATTCAGACCCCTATTGTACAAAGACTTCCAAATTGAAACTATATATGACTATGAAAGTGGTGAGTACATATTGATTTCGTTGAAGTTTAGATTAAGTTTTTGCACATATACATAATGGGTTGTTTAGTTACGATAACCGGTTGGTGTTAGCTAAATAGTAACAATGTGCGAAAGTGAAAGAGTTATGACTTTGTTTTTCCTTTTTCTTTTTTTTTCCCTTTCTTTTTTTTTCATTTCTTCTTTTTCTCAAATACCGCGCAAATTTATTGTTTTATGGATAATAGAACGTAACTCGACAAAATATCTAACATCAATGAATATCATAGAAGTACTCATAATTAATCGTGTCTCTCCCTCCCACCTTCACGTTCGACAGGACAATTATATGGATTGGAGAAATTCTGGGCCTTTTTGAAATACTACAAAAACTCTGACGAGCTTCACATTGATTCACAATTACAAGAATATTTATCCAAATTCAAGAGTATCGAAGACTTTAGGGTCGTAGAGGTATTTATCCTTTTTTTTTTTCTTTTTTTTTTTTCTTTTTTCTTTTCTTTTCTTTTTTTTTCTTTTTTCTTATCTTTCTCTATCGTACGACCTCCATAAGGATGGTTAATTTCAATGAATGTTTCTAAATAGCCCCAGATTAACGAAATGCTCCAAGGATTCGCCACAAATGCTCGAGCACAGGCAGCGAAAAGACGTAACAGAAGTCTTTCCGAAAGTGGCAGTGGTAGTGGTACAGATGGTTCTCCAATAAGTAGAGTTCGACGACTCTCGGGTGGTTCCAGTACGGTCACTTTACCAACATCCAATTCCGACGGTCCTAACAACCAAAAAACACGCGTAGACACCGTCAATATATCACATTTTCGTAGTAGGGCGGGTTCTTTCGGTTCCGGAAGATTGGGACATCCAAGACGAAAGAACGATCCAGTTTCGTCGAGTAGTCAGCGTGATCTCAGTAAACAACAACCAAGAAGTAGACAAAATTCGTGTTCGCTCGCAAAGTCTTACGAGACGTGTAAGGCTCAAGGCACTGCCAGACATCAAACTAGTAACAAAAACGAACAGAAGTCTTTAACGAGTAAGACAGAAGGGAGTTTATCGATATATCAAAAGTGATTTGCTCGTTCGTATCACCTACGAACTATCATTTTCGTGCGGAAACATTGAAGAAGAGACAAGGTGAGAAAAAGTCTATCGCTTAAGACGGACTCGTGTAAATTCATGACCTTAACAAGGATCAACGAGCGAGGAAGAGAGAGAGAAGGAGAGGGACAATGGTGTTCTTAAAAGAAATCGTGCAAGGGAGTAAACGTGAAAAAAGTATCGTCGTTGAAAGATCGATTGTGTCGTCGTTGGGACGACGATGGTATGTTTAAGCCTTAAACCGGTATTTCAAAGCTCCTTGCAGCGATACATCCTGTTCTGAGAATTGTGCGAATTATAAGGTACGTCGTTAGTCGTGAAAATGTTTTAGAATTTTATTTAATTTTTAAGATGATAATTTAACTCATTTTTCAATCCTTGCTTAGAGTGCCGTAGCTGTTATCGCGTGACAAATTTTTCCTCGATTCCACTAATTTTTTAGGGGAACTAAAAAAAAAGTTTGTTAGAGGAACTGTGAGAACGATTGAAAAAGTCGATTGGTAAGAAAGCCAGTCATAACCATTTCTGTGAAAGATCCAAATCCTTATTTTTTATTCCTTTGCGTGCATAATAATTATTTACCTCTGGTGAATGAATAGTTAAAATTTCATTTTAAATCGATCTTTTACGGACGGATTAGCACGTTAAAAATTAAAAAAATCAAATTTATTAGCAAGCAGCGATGATAAAGAAAATCATTTTGAAGCAACAGAAGGAAGAAAAGAAAAGAATAAGGAAAATAATAAAGAAATAAAAGAAATTAATAGAGTTTTTCGCTAGTGCATGATCTCGTATATCGGACATATACGATTTCGTAAGGTTTAAGCTTATTAAAGGTTCGTGCGGCTTAAGATTCAATGATAATGTGGCATATATCGATTAGATAATTAAATGAATATCGACGAGACGATAATTACATAAATATCGTCTGTCATTAATAATTAGCACTGACAATATTTCATGCAATCAATTATATTTGTTATTTATTCATCAATTGGATTAATGATTAACACAATTCAAGTTCTGATTATAGTAAAATTAATGTATTTCCCCCTATATATTTATGTTATTGTATCGTGTTACCATATAACAATTAATTAAAACGATAAATGGAATTCTCACATAGACGTTTATCGATTTTTAATGTTGACATGGCGAAAGAAACATTCTTACAAAGATGAGAACTTTAATTGTACATTGTTAAGCCAACTTAATATTTGAATAACAAATTTAATCGTTGATCGAATAAAGTATTAACAACGGGCTGATAAATATAAACGAATGTTGCACTTTCGGTGAAACTTTCGCTTGTACATATTTATCGAATATATGCCATTTGGGAAATCACTCGATTAAACAAATAAAGATGAGGACGAAGAAAAAGAGAAGAGCCCGCAGAAGAGATTCATGAATGTTTCATCGAAATTGTGACGCTCGAGCATCATATACGGTGGTAGTATCTGTATATTTAAGGACGGTTATACTATTATCGCTATTATTATTACTGCTAGTGCTACTATTACTACTGTCATTATTAGTAATAATATTACTACTGCTGTTATTGCTACTATTACTATTGTTGCTGCAGACAGTACTATTACAGTAACGAGGTCAATGTGAAGACGAATGAAATATGCTAGGACTAAGCTGCTTAATTATTACAAATACAGCAGGAGAAAGATGTATCGAGGGGTTAGAATAATATTATTATCATTCTTCTTCTTCTTTTTATTATTATTATTATTATTATTATTATTATTATTATTATTATTATTATTATTATTATAATTATTATTATTATTATTATTATTATTATTATTATTATTATTATTATTATTATTATTATTATTATTATGATAACTGATAGTCTATAACGAAATTAGGACAAATAATTAGATTTTATATGTGAGTTTGATTTACTGTATTTAATTTATAGTGCATATTGGAAAAAATTTCGGTTCTTACGCGATATCGCTTATGATGAAGAATATGTAATGATTATTATTGTCGTTAAATGAAAAAGGAAAGAGAGAGGTAGAGAAAGTTGCAAAGATTTGAGTAAAAAAAGCAGATGTTTTTGATCGAGGCAGCATGAAATAAGGAGAAGGAAAAAGTTGTAGATTTTCAATTAAAATCGCTGTTATTTTTTTTTCAAATAAGCACTGAAAATGCATATCCCAGGAGGTTTCCTATTTATATACGATCTTTTTCTTTTTCTTTTCTTTTTTTTTTTCTTGTTTGTCCTACGAATTCGCGTGTACAGCGTGATGTAAATACAATTGCTAGAAAAAGTTTTATATATATATATATATATATATATATATATATATATATATATATATATATATATATATAGTTACAGAACAAGCAAGTAGAAAAGAAATGATATTTAAATTTGCCAAATACACACACAATTTCTTCCTATAGGTACTAAGAAAACTATTATTCTAAACTGCGTCGAACGAACATGCTATAAAAGTGTGCCGAATTTCGTGCAATAGAGCCTACAATATCTAATTTTTTTCTGGTCTCACCGAAACATCTCTTGTTCTTTCATCTTTGTCGTTGAACAAGTTTCTTGGTTGTGTCGAGAAAAGAAATATTCCTTTTGTCGTTCACACGAGACACGTACAAAAGTACTTTCTTATAATAAAGAGCTTACCATTACTTTAACCGGATTAGATAGGAAAAATGTATAAAATAATAACGACTGTTCGCCTCTTCTCATAATATTTTTTTTTTATTTGTTAGTTATCGTTTATGCAGGCTATTTTATTTGTAAATTTTATATAATCATACATACGCGTACACGCAGAGAGAGAGAGAGAGAGAGAGAGAGAGAAAGAGAGAGAGAAAAGTTTCGCCGTCTAAACGATCTACATGAATCACTGCCGATAAAAGAAATATCGTTAAACAGTCAGGACGGTAAATTAGATAACGCGCTTCGCGTGAACTCGTTCGAACGCTTCGTATTTTAAAGAGAAGATGAGATAGAAAAAAAACGTTCCTCAGGTAACGAAATAACTGTTTTTTGCAAGAAAATCATAAAGCTATGATATTACATACCTTCAACGCCGTGATGGATTTCGGGTTCATCATTAAAAGCATCTACTTGTTATTTATTTCGTGCCGTTCAATAAAAGTGATACGATAGATTTGTATATACGCGTATACGTGTACAGGGTGAGTCATCTTTAATTTGGATAATGCCTTGAAAATAATGATTTCGTCATTTAGAAAAATTAATAAAACGGATATTTAAAAGTATCAAGGTATTTAAAAATGTCAGATGATTCGCTTTGTATAACGTGAAAAATGCTCTTGTAAATATCATGTTGTACGATTGTACTCAGAAAAAGATAAAATAACGAAACCGATTTATATTGTAGATCTTTTTTTCTTTTTTCATTTTTTAGAGAGAGAAAATTACAGAATGCAATGGAAGTGAAATTTGTAATAATTAACAAACGCTTCTTTTCGATTGACTTTCTTTAACGGCTCTTTTTTAATCTTCCGATAAGATAAAATGAAAAATATTTTAGTTACCTATGTTTTATGCATTTTACCATAATTCATACGTAAAAGTACATACATAAACTAAATCTATACATATATATATATATATATATGTGTGTGTGTATATATATATATGTATATATATATGTGTGTATATATATATGTATATATATATGTGTATATATATGTGTATATATATATATGTGTATATATATATATGTGTGTATATATATATGTATGTATGTATGTATGTATGTAGGTATATAAAATGGCAGATAAAACGAACGATACACTATGTATGCTGCAAAAATCCATTCATTGTTTAAACATGCCCTTCTTATTCTCATTGAAACGCACTAGTCACACGTACCGCATACATATAACCGGTATAATAAAAACTGTCGAAAATATTGGATCGTATATGTATAAGAAAAAAGAGGTGCATTTATTAAATACTACTTATAACACGATTAAAATTAATTTCTTCGAAACGCTTGCTACATTTTGATGGAAAAAAAAAGGAAAGCATTTAGGCATTTCTTATATTTTTGTATCTCAAATACACGTAATCCTTTTGCGATAATAAAATTAATAGATTTTCGGTAGCACTTTGTAAATTGACAAGAGTTGAGAAAGGAAAAATTAAATTCGGTAATAATTTTTCTTTTTCCATTTCAATTTTCTTCCAACAAATTAATCTCGCATAAGGACGAACTTAAGCAAATTTCTAAAAAAAAGAAACTATTCTTCGGTCTTCAGTCGACGTTTTGCTTTAAAATTATGAATATATGTAAAATCGAAAATATAACCGATGAGTCACATCTACGGATGAAGAATTAAACGTGAACTAGCACAAACTAATAATTACACACTTAATATCCAGGAATAAAAAGAATGAAAAAAAAATGAAAAAAGAATGAAAAAAGAATGAATGGCTCATAATATGTACATATTTCTTTCATAATCTTTGGTTGCCATTTCATAAGCGGCGATATTTGATTTTATTTTTAAACGAATTAAATAATAATAACTTAACACGGGCGCGCTATACTATTACGATGACAACGTTCTATAAATGTAAGATTTTAGAATTAGATTCATATGATTAAGTTTAGAAGTCGGTCAGGAAATGAGCCAATAAACTTTATGGCGTCCTTCAAGATATAACATACCCCTATATGTTATATCTACGATAAAATATAATGTAGATATAATGAGAAATATTTTCCCACGAAATACGGGAGCCTATCATAATATAAAAAATAGATCTTTTGCATTGGATTATTTTCAAATGGTGCACGATCGTCTTCTTCCCTGATATAAAAAAAAAAAAAAAAAAAAAAAAAAAAAAAAAAAAAAAAAAAAGAAAAAAGGTAATTTTGTAACACATAATACATTTGTAAATAGCCACATATTTCCGTAAAAACATGCACGCGCATACACACATACACACACACGAACAATCGCAATTTGTGTTACAAAAAACCGAAGAAGAAGAAGTGTATAATAAATATAGAAAAATATTAAGATACAGAGACTACATAGATAGACTTACGTACAGAACGCAAAAAATCATATGCACGGACTCGTACGTATACATCGTTACTTAGTTTTGCTGCTAATAATTCTTAATTTTATACTTAAGGCTTGCATTATTATATAAAAAAAAGGGTGAGGTTAACGGTTAATAAAAACAAAAAAAAATAAAAAAATGTATAAGAAATCCGCGCGCGCATCTATATATATATATATATATACACACACACATATATAAAAGCAGCTGCTAAAAAGAAATGATTATATATACAGGCAACCCTTCTTATAATACGGTTAATTTGTACCGTTGCCTGTACATATACAATGCATAAATATTATACACAAATATACACACATTATATAGAGAACTTATACGGTCTCAGTGTGTAAAGTTAATTTCGCGGTGATGCCACTCTCCGAGCGAAAATTACGACGACCTCTATTTGTTTATTTAACTTGTACGAAAAGCGAAGGGAAGGAGAAAAATAAGAGCAAAGTCACGAATCTCCGGCAAAACGTTTGAATCAACTGCCTTGAGTTTGTACAGATACTGTCCCCCCCCTTTCCCCCCTATCCCTACATTGACTTTTCTCCTCTCTGCTCTCATTATTACGTACTTTCTATTGTTGTATATATCGTATTTTTCTTCATCGATTCCTTGCTTTCATCTATTAGTATGTTTGTATATAAGTAGTATGTTTGTATGTAGTAAATAATTCTTTTTTTTTTTTTTTTTTTTTTTTGTTCTAATTTCATTCATATTAATTCTATGTGTACGTATCGATTAGGATTTCGTTAAATATAAATATTTGATTTTTTCGTCGAGTTATCGAAGGAAAAAGAAAAAATAAACGGTAAAGCTCTCGACTCACGGAATTAATGTTATCCTCGATCCTTCGTAAAATCGTGCGGAAATAAACGGAAATAAATCGTGGACAGCTCGTGGTTGTGAGAATTTTGTTAATATTCAATGGGAATAGAGTAGTTCGCATGAACGTATGTCGCGCAGTATTCCGAGAACGGAAACGATTCACTATCCGGTAAAGAGAAAGAAGAAGATAAAGAAAACTTGCAGATTAAGCTTAATTCTAAATAAAGAAAAGGAAGGAAAAGAAAAAGTAATAATTATAAATAAAATAAAACTCGCAGCAGGTTTTCGTTCGTGCAATTGTGCCTTCAATCGAGATTTTACTTGCGAATACTCATGAATACGTCGTACCATCTTCCACGTTTCAATTTTGTGTGTCGAAAATGCGGGAAGAATATTAAAAAATATACTTAGTACAGCTTGCGTGAGAGAGAAAGAAAAGGTCGAGAAAAAAAAATGAGAAAAGAACGAAGCCTAGGATTTAAGCAAGCGAGAAAAGTCTTCGCAACGAGCTAAGAAAGAAAAGGAAAATCATAGACGGACGGAAAAAAGAGTGCTAGTTAGTTAAATATATAGAAAATTGTTAGAAAAAGAGAGAGAGAAAGAAGAAACACTTTCGACCTTTATGTTTGGCGAAATTTTTAAATATTTTTTCAAATGTAGGTACAACATAACCCGTATACAATGATTAACAATAACAGACAGTAGACATACGTATTTGTTATTACGAGATATGACTCGAATTGCGATCCCTCGTTTCACGATAATTAATAGTCATGTCAGCCATGTACATAGATATATAGTTATACGATAAACATACTTAACGATAAGACTTAGATGCTGAGTTAAATTAAATTAAGCTAGAAAATACAGTTTAAACGATAATAATAATAACAGTTATAGGTTGATCGAACGATGCGTGCGCGCGTGTGTGTGTATGTGTCTGTGGGCGTATGTGTGTGTGTGTGTGCGCGTTTAAATTTACTGATAATACATGACGTATGAATGAATTTTGAATCTTGTACGCGTAGCTGAAAGTTGTAACGTTTGTGAATATATAAATAATAAAAAAGTCAAAAAAACCGAGCACAATCCGAATTCTTAATTTCGCTCAACGAATACCGCATTTGTCGCGTATGTCGAAGAAGAAGAAGAAAGAAAAGCGTCGCTAATTTTCCTTTTTATATTTTCTTTCTTTTTGTTTTTCTTTTTATTATTATTAATTTCCCATAATTACTTAAATGGACAAATTACCCAATTATCATTTTGCATTGAATCGGTTTAATTCGATCGGATAGAAAGAACGTCTCTTTTCCGTTTCTCGTAGACGGAAAATTTTGTTTTTTACCGATCGTTTTTGCTCGCAAGTTTACATTCGTAAATGTTAACTGGATTCGTTGCTTTTATTCGTCGTCGAAATAAATCGAGGTAATGGGTTAACTCCGTATCTTCTATCCGTTCCCGGTGTTTTCGTGTTTTATGATTACGAGCTGTATCTAACGTTACCACATGGCCCATCGGTACGGAGCGCTGCTCGAGGAATTACCCCTAAATGCACCGTGCTCCATCCTCCTCTTCCCTTCATTCTTTCTTCGTTTCTTTTTTTTCTCTCTCTCTCTCTCTCTCTCTCTCTCTCTCTCCTCCTACTAATAATAATATCTTCGAGCAATAATACACACCCTTTTTTTTTTTTTTTTTTTTTTTTTTTTATTTATTATCTACGCTATGCAAACGTAAATACCGCGTTTCGATATGATTATTTTTTGACGTCTTAAGAAAGATAGGATCGAAATGAAATAAATGAAGGATTGCAAACAAACGTGAATACTTTATTTCTTAGTAATTCCAATAAGGCGTTAGTTAATCGAATCTCTCTTATTTTATAAATTTTGGGAGTTAACTATGGGCTATCATTCTTTTTTTCTTTCCTAAAACGGCGGAACGCGCGATCGATGAGCAAACCGCGATGAAATCGTCAAAGGGACTCGACGATTTCCGCGATTAATCGTCAAAGAAAATGGTTCGCTGGAGAACGTCCCTTCGTTTTGTGCGCTCTCCAAATTCTTCGAAGCTAAATACTTGGTAAAAAGTTCGTTTTCATCGTAGTCTCCTTCTTGATTGACCTTAACTCGATTAGCCGTCCGTCCCTTGTCGCCTGTAGACAATCAATCCACGAATATAAATTTTCTCTTATTACTTTTAATATTAATGAATTATAATTTACTTTCAGCTATTTTCCTTGATCGAATTTTTTCATTTACCTGATAAAGCGACAATAGTCCAATCTGAATCGTCGAAAGCATTAGCGACAGCCTCCAATTCGGTGTCCATACTCGTTCTACCTTCAAACTTTCGACGTTTTCCAAGTCGCGGTCCAAACCACATCCCACTGCTCATCTTTTGCATAGTCCGCTTTATGCATTTTCCTTCAGTACACGAACGAAAATCATTGTCCTGCGTTCTGTCGTTCGACATGCTCGCCACATCTCTTGAATCTAAAAAAAAATAGAAGGTAAAACTAAGGGACACTCCTCAACATAATATTCCAAAAAAAAAAAGTATATCGAACTTTAAAGACGTATCGTTCTCAATGAGTTTGACAAAGAAAGCTTGACTTGATTTTGTCAGAAATCACTGAACGTTGTTCCTTCCAATTATCGTTTTCGCACAAAACTGTCGCTAATTCAACGCACTTTTACCGATTGAAAAACGTTTAGAACAATGCATATAAAATAACATTATACAAAAGAGTACTTTGAAAGAAAGAAAAGAGGAAGAAAACTTACCGTATTCCGCGGTTGTACAGGACGTCAAGAAGAAGAATAATACAAGAAGATAGGAATAAGAGAAGGTCCCCAATGTCCAGGGAAATTTGCCGATGAATTTGATCATCTCTTCTCCCGCGTTGGATGTTGTTACTTATCACAGTTTCCTCGAGAAGCTCTCAAAACGGATTGGTGCCGATACAGCAGCGATCCTGAGGTTTTATAGGGTTGCGCCGAGGTATCACCGGGCGTTGTCACGGTATCACCCTCACCCTTTGCGTCCTCCTCGATCTTGTCGAAAGAATAATGTACTAAGAGAGATAAAGAGAGAGAAAGAGAGAGAAAGAATATCGAACAATCCCACGGGGGTAATCTCGGTGAGCGTCGTGGCGATTACTCTCCATTTGAATCAAAAGTTACGCTCTTCCATACGTAATGAGAATTCCTCTCTTTCCTTCTTGCTTTTGAGCTCTCCTACCCACGTTTCGCTCTCCTTTCCGTGTTCTCGCTATCCGTTATTGCCGAATATATTTTTTATACTTACAGAAAGAATTTTTATTTATTTAGAATTATCTAAATGAAGAAAATTTTAAACAATCAATACATATTCGTTGAAATGTTCGCGTTTAATTATTTTCGATTGTATTAAATTGGAAACTATGAAACGGGAATGAAAATAAATAAACAAAAACGCCCGTTTTATAGTTTTCAACCTAATATATAATATTAATTCATCTATAAAATAATGTTAATGTCGTCTCTCGAACGTTGCAATATACAATATAATACGAATATACACACACACACACACACACACACACACATATATATATATATTGTTTTCAGATTTCTTCGAAACTCTCGATAAAATGAATTCTCATCCTGAAACGTGCGCATTTGTCGCACCCCATACAGCGCGATAAATGAAAAGCGTTACTCCGTTCGAAAGCAAAGGGCAAATCTCTCGGTTATCCAATTCAATTTGTGAGTCTACAAGATTGACTTCTCCCGTTGCTATATAAGAGACCGATCTTCGCTTCTCTGCGGCATTTCGAAAAAAGTCGTCGAGCTAAACGGATTTACTTGTTATTTTATTTCCTTTATTTTCCGTATGAACACGTCTACGTTGTACATTTCGTGAAGTAATTACTTTTGTTGTATCTTTTATTCAACGTTCTTTTCGTTACTTTTTTGTTACAGAATTTGATTACATTTTTTTTTCTTCTTGTTTTTTTTACTTTTTTCTTTGTTTTTTTTACGCAAAATTACAGTACATATCGCAAGTGGTATTATAACTTTTAGCGTTAGCTCACGTCTCGCGACATCTTTATCGAGTTTACAATTCTCTCTCTTTCTCTCTCTCTTTTTGATATAATGTCTCCTACGAAATCCGAGAGGACGTGATATTTTGTCATGGTTGAAACAATATACACGTCGATGGAACGGCCAAAACGCATCTCGCACGATCGAAGAAGGTCCTCCGCACATGCGGACCGATGCGTTTTTTTAGTGGGATTTAAGTGGCTGCGCAGCTCCTTACATTTACGTACATACACATGTACGTGGCCTTTGATACTCGTCAAAGCAAATAAACGTTCGTGGCTTGGTGCTACTGTTGTTATTATTGTTGTTATTGTTGTTGTTGTCGTCGTTTTTTCTTTACATACCGTGAAGATTACTCGACAAGAACGTATCCGAGACGTTCCCACGTCGTATAAATTATATTATTTCTATTAAGAGTGCGGTTGATAGTCGAGATTAATTAAACGATAGAAAATTGACATCCGCAACATTCTTACGATCGTATCGTTTCAGATGCTCTAAGGGTTCAGACAATAGAAAGAGAATAAAGTAGGATCTAGAGGGATATACGATCTTAATGACGATTAAAAATTTTAATTACAATTCGGATACTAAAGTGTCGCTCGATCGTAATATATGAAAAGATATTCAAAGAGCGTAACTTAATCTTTCCACGAGCTCGATCAGCCTTCACCGACCCTTTCGTTTTCACGGATTCGGAGGAGGCGCTTTGCTTATCTCTGGCAGCATCACTTCGGGATGCTACCGAGAATAACCAAGTTCTTTAGGTAACGCAGGAGTGTTTACACCGCAACGTCCGACTACGGGAGGTGTTCTGGGCTTCGTCAAAGCACAAGTTTACAAAGATTCACCTTCTCTCCTGCGTTTAACACCTTCCATAGGCTTCCTTACCATATATCTCTTTGGTGCTCTTTCCTTCTCCACGATTAAAAAACGTTCACGAGGGATCTAGGTGACGTTAAATGAAACGTATCGAGGCTATGTTGATAGTAAGTATCATTTTCAAATTCGTCTAACGCGTCGATGAAAGAAGATCAGAATAAATATACGATGATGATACAGTGCAGTGATAAACTCTACCGATTACAATAAATAAATGACAAACGACAAACTAAGCTTGGCCATCGATGTATTTACAAAGCGAACTCCTCGTAATCTTCGACACAATGTCCGTCGAACGAGCTCGATTCGATGCCTGCAAATATTTAGTCTCCCGTTAGCGAGTCGTCGAGAGAGATCGTTATGCGATACTTTTTAATCGAGTATAACTCATAACGATGACACTTTGACTTGGCTCTTAACGCGTTACGAACGATCGACGAGATATCTCGCATTCGTAAAGATTATGACTCATTTTGTAAATACGTATACACTTGGATTGCGTACGTAGAAAATGTGAAAATGATTCCGCGAAGGGACACTTTGATGTCAAGTTTGTTCAATTTTCTCAAAGTTACGGGTATCGAGATCGAAGGTCGTTACGTTATTGCGTGTCGACGGAGGAACATGTTTCTCGTTCTCTCCTTTTTTTTTTCTTTCTTCTTCGTTTCTTCTTTTTACGACAGGAGCAGGGACCTATCGGAGCGACGAAGAGACAGCGCCAAAGTAGTGGCGCCAGGATATCGAAGAAACCCGAGACCCGACTGTCTTGGACAATGATTTCTCAGCGTGCAGCATGCTCATGGAAGGCACGTTTGTGTCGTAAAAATTTTTGGAAGAAACTGCAACTCGACTTCCTGCATTTGCAGGCACGTGAGAAAAAGTAAATCAAGATGGCGTGTGATAGAATAAATAGCGATAGAAATCTTGGTGATACGACGTTTTTATTATTGCCGATTGATATCTTTTACAGGACTTTAAGACTTAAAAGCTATCACCAAATATCAGCCCGAATTAACTTTCTTTTTTTTTTGTTGTTCTTATATTTAGGTATAGAAAAGTATGCGAGAGAACTGATATGTTTTACAATAACGTTGTCATTTCTGATAGTCTGAATAAATAGGCAAAACATTGTCCGTCGTACAAGTCGTTACGTTTTTTAAGAAAATTCGCATGGAGTGAAATTACAGCTATGATAGCCTTTAAGGGTTAACGGTGCTTTATACAAAAGTTTACAAACGAATCAAAGAGCGAGGATTCTTAATAATAGAAAGGATTCTCAAAGAGATCAAGTATTTATCTAAACTCGCTTACAAATTATTAAATGTCAGGAGGACCGCAAACCGTTATTATCCTCTTTTCTCTTTCTCTCTCTCTCTCTCTCTCTCTCTCTGTCTCTCTTTTTCTTTTTCCTTGTAACGATATGCTAAATTGACGAGCAGCTAAAAGCAACGAGCATTCTCTATTTACACATAAATTTAAACGCGAAATATGTACAACGCGCGAGAGATCTCTTTCATTTTTACAATAATCGTTTATAAATAAATTTTTAATCCATCCTAAGACGAACGTCAAATAATGAGTTTTTCGATCTTTGATTTATTGCATTTGATTCGTCGGCGATTCTTGCTTCAATTCCAGGGCCCACATGTGTTGCGGCCATCCCGTTCGGCCTTTGCTCTTGGACGATTCTTCGTGAGCTACGTTCGAAATAGATTGCAAACACGTCTCGCTCTGAAAGTACAAGAAACGAAAAGAACAAAAAAATGACAGTGTTCTCGAATTCGAACGTGAAGCAACAAAATAACGATAGTTGCGTTAGCTGACCGACACATATGCTTTGCTTGTGTAAGGAATGTCAATGAAAAAACTAAGCAAAGTTCGGTAAAATTGATGATGCGGTCACGAGTAACGATAGGATTCGATTCAAAAGGAAGACTCTTCGTGGGTGGTACAGCCAGATGGAAAATTGGATAAACCACAAAGCGTAGGGTCGAAAGAAAAATATTTCCACGCGCCGGTATTAAATTTAATGAAGCCAATTCGATGATCCGACGCGACGGTCACGTTCATGGACACTTTCGGGAGAAACCAAAAAATGTTTGGATTAAAAGAATTCATCAATAAAAACGACGAGTTTTCTTTATCTTTCGTTGAAACGTTCGACTCGACTCCGT